GTCAATAAATAATAATGTTAATTTTAAATGCCTGCCTAGTTACTTTATAAATGAATTGTGATATCATATGACAGTTTTGTTTACGGTGACAATTTCACAGCATATTATTATGAGCTTCTTATCGAAGACATTTGAACGTGTATGTTGCAGCTCACGTCCAAGTTTGCACAGGAATATCCGTTATCTGCAGGCCCTTGACAAGAGAAAACCTCATTGTTTCTAGGTAGGGATAAACAAAATGATAAAACAGCTTAACTTTATAGTTACTTCATAACGATAGTAAAGTCCCGAGCAGGGTCAGAATCACAGTGCATAAAACTATCTTCAGAGTTTTTTTTTTCTGATACTAAATTAATTGTCGATAACGTTTTTAAATTTGCTCTGTGGGCCCACATAACATTTATAACATTTTTTTAAATTTCGTCGCAACCAGGCAAATACAGTGTGCAAATTAAATGTGAAATCGGTCTAGTTAATTTTACTTCACTCACGATACGAGTAGTTTCTATTGCAAGCGGCCTTGCAGAGTCGAACATTCCACACGTTAACGGTTCGATTATTAATAAACTCAGATTCTATATTCAACCTAAATCCTATCGGCGTAAGATCATTTTTTAATACGTACAGTAATTTTATTATTTTACTAACAATGAGAAAAAAAATCAATATGGACGTATGGTGAAGCGTTGTTACCCCTGTGTTTCTCTCGGGATACGTCTGATTTTTTGTATGGCGCCGGAGTGGGAGACCGATTCATGTGAACCGCTTTTGGGGCGAATTCCCGAGCCTTCCCGGAGCCCTTCCTAATAATGCCTATTCGACAAATGCACGACAAACACTCGCACGGGCTGCCTTTTGTTATGAAGCGTCTCTGTAGTAGTGCAACAATATTGGCTTTCTGTGCAATACGAAATAATATTAATGAATACAAACAGCCGCACACATAGTAGCGAACTGATTAAAACGTAAAAAGAAACTATCCGTTTTTAAATATACAATTTTAACAAAAAAATCGCCAACGTTATGTTTCTTTATTTAAATAGTTTTGTCAATAAGAATTAGTCGTTCAAAGCGGTGGACTTTTCACAGCTTCTACTTAAGTATTCTCGTAAATAGCTTAACAGATACTTAGTAGCGTCGACAACCAATAAACACGCGAGTCAACAGCGCTTGACTAGACATCTATTCATCGAAGCTGCAGATGATTTACAAGGGTCCTTTCTTAGGTAAACTCGCTCCGACCTGCACTTCTTTTTATAGTTTTGTCTGGACCTTTTTTCTTTTTGCCGACCGAAATGTGTGGCCGACAAAAAATCAGTGCGCTCTGTCTGTATCCTGGTGCGCTTTTTGTAAAAGTGGTACCACATCCGAATAATCACTTACGGCCCGTTCAAAATATTTTGGGATCATGAATGCGAGCGTCTCGGGCGTTTCTTTTGAGACAGTTCTCGGAACGTACCTTTTCGAAGTGAGTTTTATATTTTCTCGAGTCATGTCTATTGAAGACAAAACGTCTACAAAGAATACTTTTGGGTTTAGCGAAGCCGATTCGTGCTTTTAACTAAACACGACTAAGCTTTGGATTCGTCGCGTCGTAGTAAAATCAAGAACATATCAATGCAAATACAAAGTAGGTAAGCATCTATTTCGAGAAGCTGGAAGGTGTTTGGCATAGTATTGAGAGATGTGCGAGTAACGCGTAGGTATTTTGATACATTGGCTGCAGTTAATTTTAGATGGTGCGCAGACGTGTCGGATTCCTGTTTAATTGGCAGTCGAAATAATCGTATAATGGATTAAGCTTTTTAAATAAAAATCAGGGCGTTGGAGGTATTGCTTATACGAGGTTTTGTTGTACTCGTGCTCCGTTTGAAGTGTTAAATAAGGCGTTTATTGTGAGTCGTATAGATTACTATCGTAGCAGCGTGAAGCCGTAGCGTGTTCGACCCTCGTTTTTTGACGACAGTTGGTCACCCCCGTCAAAAGGCCACTCCACATTTTGGCTTGTGCGCATATTTCAATAAAACGGTATTAACAAATTCATTTTACTGTGTCCATTTTGATAAATTTTAATCAAAACGTATTAGCCTACTAGTATTTATGATTTTTGTTGCGCGTTTGGTTTTTATTTACGTAATTAATGGTTACAAAAAAAGCTAAATTAAATTTAATAATAACCTTACTTAATATAACATTTACCGAAACGTTCTATTAATATGTCTAATTGTGTTTGAATATCGCCTTCTCTGTCTGTCTCTCTTTCACAATAAATCAATTGATGCTGCGACGAGAATGAATCATGTTTTAAGGAGCGGAATTCGGGGTTTACAAACGAAGGCAAACGCTCCGTAGTAAATACTGTACAATGAGTCGGGAAGGGTCGGGCGTCGATATGCGGCTAGGGTAAGTGAGCCACGACACAACATGGGAATATTGTCGCGTAAAGAACTTACAAAACAAAAAAATATGTTTATATAAACAATGAAAACAATCTAAGCTGTTGAGTCGACACATGCTCACGACTATGTAACAAAGTGGCTTTGTAAAAACAGTACGTTCGAATCTATTGAGCACGTGGTGCAATACTGTCAGTGCATCCGCCTCCAGCCCGCTGTCCGTTTACTGACATTTTTTCCCACGATAACTTACGAGCGGTTTAGATGCAAGCCATTTACTATATTAAACAAAGATGAACGTTACAGACACATTTTGATTTAGAATTCACAAAACAATATTGAAATTTTTGGATTATTGATTTTAAATAACGAATTAGGTGATTTAGATAATTACAAATTATCAATTAGTGGAATGTGACTTAAATAATTGCTCGAATAACATGTAAAACATTAATTGTTGAGAGACTCTTGGCGGTTAGATATTTCGAATTCTGCCCTTGATTAATAAGTAACTTCCTGTGCCCTGTTCACACAGTCTTTTCGGTCCCCATGTTATTATTATTTGCTTATTGGTTTTGTATAGAGGCAGCCGTCAACAATATGTCGTTTGTAGAGGTGACTACTACAAAACAAAGCCGTTAAGCACGTCAACTTAGCACCTGCTCGTATTTTTTTTACGTATTTGATAGAATATACAAAAAAAAAAACTAAAACTTTAATATAAGATTGTCTACGTGATTATGACAGAAACATTTTGTTCAATGTTTTTTGAATGACATCAGTGTTTTCAGCTTGATTCTATTTGTTTGTGTTTATTATAAACGTTAAAATGCAGTCACCGCGTGCATTCCCAGTTCGTAGTAGTGTGAGTGACTATCGTTGCTGTGTGCGCGACTTGTATTAGTGTGGGTGCGATCTCTCGTTTGTGTGTGTGTAATGCGCGCCCTAAAACATTTGTACGTGTGAATGGGAGAGCACATTTCATTTATAATTGCAGCGATGCGCGGTCGACAATGTCACACTTACTTGGGTAGTTAGTTACCCTTCAATTTTTAGGGTTTCCATTAACAAATTTACCGATTAATTTAGTTTAATTATATTTGAAAGTTCCTAAAATAATTGAAAACTAACGAAATTGTATCTATTACCGAGAATATTTTTCCGGCACACTTTTTAGATTTATGTTAATGGATTATTATTTTTATGAATTTTGAACCGCGATATAAATGCGTCTTATAGGTAAGCGTGTCACGTTTCGGCGTTCGGTTATAATATAAACAAACTTCTTCCGGATAAGATAAAACAATAGTACTTGAAAACGTATTAAAAATAATTCTGAGTAACGTTATTTAATCCGGTATTCATTAATTAAGTGACGTTAATATTTTCTTTGAGATAAAGACTAACTTACCCAGGGACGTTAACTCGATATCCAATTGTTCCTTGCAGAGGATTTCTTTTTCCACTATTGGGAGCTGGTGCTCCCGTGTATGTAATGGTTGACCCCACGTACCCTGCCGTGCTATCAGAGTTCGCCGTCCTGTCGTCTCAAAGCACCCCCTGAAATACGATGTAGCGTATTGTATCCCAAAAATAATGACGTTAGAACAACAATGACAGTTCTCAGGTCAATGGCCGATTTATGGTCTTTTTTTTAAGTTACTGTCAGGTATGCTTCAATTTGCATATGTGTCAGACGCTAGCGTAGAATGACTTGTTATCGCGCATCGAGTAAAATTTCGCTTATGCCATTCACTGTTAAGTGTTTAACTTTTGAACATTAAATAGATATTTTTATATTCACTTTATATTAATTGAAATTAAGACATTAATTTCTAGGAATGCAACATAGTTTTTTTGTAACAATTTTCTCATTGAGATTTTGTTTACTGTTTTTTTTCTGTTTTCGGGTGTATCGCAATTATTTAAAAAATTTATTTAGTTGCTTTGTTTTAAGTCGATGAACGCGTGCGGAATTTATTTAATGATCAGCTGATAGGTATCACATCCAACGTGTGCCATTTAGCGACAGGTGGTAGATATAAGGGCCAGGTACTTTGTTTTTAATTTACGATTTTTTTAAATTATGTATATAGATTAAATAATTAATGATGTTAAACTTTGGGACTTTGCAAATAAATTTCTTTAAAAAATCACTTTTATTTACTTTTTAAAAATCACTGTCACAGATCCTTGGTGCGCACTAGTTATGCTTATCCATAATCGTTTTCCACGAAAGTAATCCTGAGTTGTGTCACTACACTGTTCCAAAACTTCAAAATCAATTGTCACTTTCACATTAAATAATATCCAAATCCAGGGTACTGAGATCAGAATTTGTCACTGTATTCCAATCATTAAATAAGTTGTCGCGAGCCCGATTTTGAAATCACCGAAACATCATATTATACGTGTTACACGAGTCTCAACACCGACGTCACTGAAGCGACGACGAACGACCGTACGTTCGACCGTCAAAGGTAACACTGGATGATGGCGATGGTGAGTCGGCGACGGTGAGTGAGAGGTTGCGGCGCGGGGCGCTACCACCCCGCGCGACGTTGCCAGCTCGTCGCTATAAGTGGCGTACCCCCGCATCCCCCCGCTCGTAAGTCGTCTCGGCACTCTGCGATCGGCTGCGCTCGGGCGTTACCGTCGTTCTATCGGCGCTCTGCCCCACCCCACTTGCTCGACGTTTTCACGTAACGGTCCTTCGGTCTTCACTCTTCAATCCAGCGCGATACTCTGAATACGATAGTAGTAATGAGCTGTCGTCACTATGATTAGTTCTATCACCGAACCGGAGAGGTTTTGAAAAGTAATGCCCCTTTAGTATGTATTAGAATCAAGTGGCTTTGCATTATTATCTTGAACCGTTGAAGTTTTGTTAATTTAAAACATCCAAGATCACATTATATCGGTTTCAGGTAGTAGGAGCATATTTGTATCGAGTTTTTGCTAAGATTGACGATGGTCGACTAACATGAACGTTGAGGCATAATAATTAGCGACGGTAAACAATGGGCATGTCGTCCTCTGGCCGCTACCTGCGCATGACGATAGAGGACGTGTGACTTGTCCTGCCTTGTCCTTGCCGGGGCGCGATGAAGGTGCACGTTTTTCAAATTATAATCTTTTGTAGTGGATGTCATTATGGGATCTTTTCGTTTGATTAGAAATGAAGACTAAACGAGTTACTCGTTAAAATTTATACTTTAAATAACTATGCTGGGCCTAAGGCAGCTTCTAAAAATGTGCGTTTACTATTCAATAAGTAAATTGATTAATGAACCCATAAAATCGGAAGATATTTGGATCCGAATAACTCTGTTATTGGCGGCTTGCTGCGCATAGTTGTTTTAACTGGAAAGTCGGGAAAGCGCACGAACCGATATCGCACGCGCATTATTTGATTATTTCGTCCGCGTTCTGATGCTTTTCTTTATTTAGTTTTATATTGCTTAGACCGATGAATGAGCTGACGGCTTAATTGGCGCTCAGCCGTTACTGGAGGCATCATTACATGAATGTCATGTAGAATGGCTGTCCCATACTTCAAAGCGGACAGCTTCGCGGCAGAAATGGCAGTGTGACAGTATCTACCCGTTTGGGCTGATAAGACCCACCGCTACCAGTAGTATTGCAAATTAGAACTTTTGCAGATTTGATTTTTTCGCGCTATTTTATTCCTTCATAGTGGAAGTCTTTCGTGAACATATGTTAGTACGTACGTGATTAATTACGTTCTTAACAGTAGTAAGTGGTTTTCATTGAGTATATCTGTATAATATAGTAATTATAGTAAAAAGCAAAGTCGATTCATCATCATCATCATTTCAGCCTATCGCCGTCCACTGCTGAACATAGGCCTCTCCAATAGATTTCCAGTGCGACCGGTCCATTGCCACCTGCATCCAACGAGTTAAATTAAATTAAATTAAATTAAGTCGATTAAATTACTTTAATTTCTAAATTTCTGAATGGTCTTTAATTTATTAGACAATATTGGTGCACATAAATATTATCAAAAAGGTTTTCCGTGTATTAAATAAAATTCATCCATCCTATCTATAAATTTTGGTATTAGTTTTATAAGTGTTTTAAATTAACGTTAAGAAGGAATTGTAACTACGTAATTGAATTTTTCTCAAACGAAATTCTTTCTCAATCGTTTTACCTTATCGTTGTTAGAAATGCGATTAAAACGTGTCGAGTCTCAATTTTTCCTGTTGTGTTGGAAGTCTTATCAGTGCAGATACAGTTAATGACGACTGTTCGGTTGATAATCATGTCATTACGTACATAAAAGCACGTATACCGCACTTTCGTTCGGTTTAATTTAACATTGTTTTGTGACAATGTAAGTTTCTAATGTTTTTGTGAAGTTGCACGTTAATTGTTTGACCGAGTTGTCTTTTTTTTCTAAAATGAGCGTTCCTTGATGTCTCGTCCAGTAAATCAGATTGAAAGTGTACTTACAGCTGCAAATGCAGACTCAGTTCTATCCGATGATTTGCAAGCGAAGTGAATTATCCCTAAAAAACTTGCATACGTCCAGTCATGACTTATGCAAGTGCTCTCTCACTTGAAACCCCGTCAAATCATACAATCCCGTTTTTGCAGGATATGTAGCCGTTGGAGCACTGTGGTATTACGTAAGGAACGTGGATCTCCACGACGACCTGGACCTTGAGTCCATCAGTAGCTACCTACAGTCAGCATCAGTGCGCCATTTCGAAAAAGCGGCACAGCACGAGACTCCTCTCATGGTGGTCGCCGGCAACTACATTCCCAATCCTGCGCACAGAATCCTAAACATTCGATGTCGCCCTAAACACATTATTTCGGATCCTGCCGATCCACTAACGGTGCTTTTAGGTGCCCCAAGAACCGGTCATTGTTCTCGTCGTACCCGTCGCTTGCGACGAAGGGCTCAGCGAGTAAATTAACCCACAGACAGCCCACTGAGTTTCACTCCGGATCTTCTCAGTGGGTCGCGTTTCCGATCCGGTGGTAGATTCTGCGAAGCACTGCTCTTGCTAAGTTTAGTGTTAGCAACGTCGTCAGACTTGGGCCCCGCGAGCTCACCTAATAATTCTGAGATTCTAGTATAACCCCTCGAGGTTGCTAGAATAAGTAGGAAAAAAAGCAGATAGCTAGCTATTCGAAAATAAAAAAAAACTTCATATAAAAAAGCTCTATGAGGCGTGGCGTTCATTCTAGATTTTAATAATAATCTCTTTTCATCGAAATGTATTTCAGTCCCATGAACTCCAGAGCAACAAAATTAAACGGAAATGCGGAATTAATAGGACCTTTGTATTCTAGACTGTTAACTAGGTGCGTACGTGACGTACGATCAGCAGCTCAAGTACTGCAATTGCACTGGCCAATAACAACATCAATATCATACACATATACAGCCTCATCAATATCCTAAGATTATTCGGAGTAGATCTGAGCGGCTTAGAGCTAAATAGCTCACTATATCTTAGCTCTATCGTGAGTTAATCATTTCCTGCATAGCCATCTTCTAGGTGCTTAAAAAGTAGATTAAGTCTTAGTCACTACGTCGTTTTAACTCTATATTCCGTTTGTAAATATGGTATGTATCAAAATTGTAAATACATGCATCCAAGTACTTACACATAACTTGATATTGATTTTGGGCCCCCAAGACTGGTTTCTCATTGTTTCTAATCTAATTCTCTTGTCTAATTGCCACAGGTTAACAATGTTAACGGTTTTTTTTTCGTTGTTCCTTGTGTGTTAACTAGAGAAGATTGTTTATGGCCAGTATTTGATTGGGCATAAAACCACTAGTTTTGGGTATAAAAATATATGATATTCATTCTTTGCTTAAAATCCACTACAATACCCTTTATTACATATTTTTTTAAATAAGAATAGTAGAAATGTAGTAGGTATAGTAGAAATAAGAAGGGAACAATTTACTTTTAAATGGAATACATATAATGTTCTAATTTTAACGACATTGGCTTTTTTTTTTAGATTTTCAGTTACTTTTCAAAGTAGAATACGATTGTCTGTAGATTGTAGCTGTCAAATGTTATTTTACATCTCGGATTATCAAAAAATTTTGGTGAACGACAATTTAATTTTCATAAGGTTTTTTTTTAAATATCGTTAAATATCTATTATTAATTTGATCACACAATCAATATTAGACAACGCTCGTCAACATTCAATTAAGAATTACAATTTATGTAATTATAATCGCAGATAAAGGCCTGTATTTACAAATGTTTTAGCAATGTGATAATAAATTGTGTAGAAATGAGGAAACTCACGCGCGCAATATACCATCGATAGAATTGTGGGCAGTGGGTACCTCTCTACGAAGCGATACAGAAATAACTGATGTGCATGTTCGAATATATCTGTTTTTTATGACTTCTGTCTAGGGTTGTAACATAATAATAATTAAAAAAAAACTATTACTACTTAGCAAGAGAAATAGTTGAAAAGTTAGTCTAGTATTTATAGTTTTTACAGTCGAGATATTTAATCTTATTTATCGATTATTTGTTTAAAAATATTAATTATCGTTAAGAGAGAGTAACGGCTATATCCAATCCGAACTAGAGACAGGTAAGGTATTACTGTCTATATATTTGTATATAAAATATGGGTGTCAAACGTCAAAGCTACGGTTGACAGGTAAACCACATGCACTCAACCCTCCTTATGCGCAGCTCGGAGCGACGCGTTGCAAAACCGCCAAGCTGACGATAATAGCTAGATCGTAAAATAAACACAGCGGCCGTGATTTATAACCGTTGTCAACCAATGGAGGAAAAACTGACTTTTTAATTCTCCACTTTCAGCGCTTTGATGATGAGCTATTATTGTTGCCGGTTGGTAGGTACATCCTACGTCTGGTAACCGAATCCGTATACGTGACTTATAAATTGCTTCAGTGATATCTATTTAATTAATTAAGCATAATAAAAGTTTATTGTTTATTTTTACAATCATTATAATCAGTGACATACCGAAGCGCGAGGAATTATTTCGATAGCTACCTTGAAATAAAAAAAAAAATCATTACGAATACGAAATCATCACGCAATACTAAACGTCGAACGTTAATGGAGTGAGTCTAGCGATTTATTAATTGTAAATAACACCACAATAAAAACACTTTCAATTGAAAATTACATTTCAAATTATATTGACATCATAGAGGCATCGTTGTCCACGTTAACCCTCAGACACAGTCCACTGAGTTTCTCGCCGGATCTTCTCAGTGGGTCGCGTTTCCGATCCGGTGGTAGATTCTGAAAAACACGGCTCTTGCTAGGGTTCGTGTCAGCAACGTCGTCAGGTTTGAGCCCCGTGAGCTCATCTACTATTTAAGGTTCCGCTGATATAGCCTCTCAAGGCTATCAGCTTAGGTAGGGAAAAAAAAATGGTCCACGGCGATTGACAAGCTGTCATATTTAAATGACTTAACGTGTAAATCTGAATTGAATACTAGGTCGCTTTTGAGAAAACCTCCTCTGCTATGCGTCTCATTTGTGTTGACATTCGGCATATATAATCCTTTGCAAAATATACTTACGCTATAGACAACCGCTCTATAGTTATTGCGCGTTCACCCGCGTACAGATTATAAACACTGCACGAATTTCGGGCTATATTTTGTATTTTTAAGTAAATGAACGTGATATGTGCGAGAGTATGTGTTTCTGTGGAATCTTATCATCGACCGTGACGCTAACGGTGTGACTAACAAAAATATAGATAATGATACCTATGTTGATAAGGACGAGATACCGATGTTATTGCGATTATGTTGCGTTAATAATTGAAAGGACGTTTCGTTATTCATTAGGCAAGGCTATCCGAATAAATAATCTTCATATTGAAAACATTTAACGTGATAAAATCAGTAACGTTTGCTTTTAAAAACAGTAATAGTTACGTGACCATGATGTCTACGATGAAATGCATCTGACTTAACTTTACGGCATGCAGGGACGTCTTAAACTAGGATGGGGCCCTTGGGCACACAAGAATTTGAGGCCCTTTTGGAAAGTAAAAAAACGAATTATAATAACATTTTTTTACTGAGTATGACCATTTATTGTAGGTAATCAAATACAGTATGATATAATATGTCATTAATGATATTAGAATGCTGCTGGTTTTTTGGTTACGATTTCGATAACGGTTTCTTTCGGGATGTTGTTGAGCAAAATCTTCTATCATAGGCATATTATGCCTTGTAAATACCTTCTGATTACTGATTTGTGAAAAAAGTGTAATGTGCCCGACAAAAATGTTTTGAGAATAAGCGTGTGAGAGAAATTGTCTGTCTTTCGGGGCCCCCTGAGAATGGGGGCCCTGGGCACGGGCCCCGTGTGCCTTTATGGTAAATACGGTATTGACGGCATGGTTGCTGCGTTTGTTAGTGTAGAAATATTTTCTAGAACTTCCTAAACGACTTATGCGCACGTTATTCATTTGTCTTAATATATATGATAACAGCGAATTTACCGTGTACATACACAGTGTATGTACATACTGCGTTGTGGAGTTACTTAATGTATTTACTTACTTCCAGAATTTCTATGATTGGAACAAAGCAAACAACGGTCAATGAACTCCGATCAAACTGCCGACAGAGAACAATATAAAGATCATAAGTTTTGTAATAGACACGGAATTGAAGTATAGGTAGAACTGTTAGAAGGAACGTAAGTAGCACATAATGCAGTGTGGCAAGTGAGTATGTCGGCATAGCGAGCGGTTACATGCCCTCTTGATTAGGGTTGCTACTAAACATAAATCAATACTTTTTGGTAATTTCTTCGGTTTTCTAGTGTCTTAAATATAATTGATGCTTTCAATATCTTAAAACTATTTTGAAAACTATTCAGTTATCGTCGTCTATGGACCACAAAAAATTGTAAAGTATTCCAAACTGACGTAAATATAATGACAGCTATAAACGCAAAATTAAACCGTAAAGGTGCTTTTAATTATAAGTATTATTAATTTTATACCAAAAGTAACTAATTAGTGTGACACAGTGCTTCAATAAGCATAACTAGGACGGCTATGTAGTTAATGGCATGCATTTAAATCTCAATGTAAGCTGATAAAAAATAATTACTTACATATTATCGATAAGATCTACATAATTTATATTAACGTTTCGGCTGATAAAAAATTAACCGGCTATTAATCAGAAGACATGGGAACAGCCCGAATCTCCGTAAACTAGTTCGGTAATTCCCCATTATTCGACTTTTCTATTTTCCCTACCTATTCGCTGGTATCCTAAGAGACTATTCCAGCTACACCCTAACGGGTAGGCAAACTCATGGGCTCAACCTGAGAGAATTTGGTAACAAGCCCTAGCAAAAGCAGTGCTTCGCAGAATCTACCACCGGATCGGGAACGCGACCCACTGAGAAGATCCGGAGAGAAACTCAGTGGGTTGTGTCTATGGTTAGTTCTATTGTCTATCGTCGATTATTACGAAGACGCTATGTCTATGGGATAAGGTAATTGGTCAACGCCTTACGGGTCGTTGAGTTATTATAGCTGAATATACCATTTAAAACTGTTTGGATTTTGTATTATTTAGATTAGGATCATAGATACGGATTTTTTTTCAAATGAGCACACGGCCCTCATGTTATTAAAATATTTCCAAAGTGATTATAACGCGGTCCATCTTGAGAAATGAGCTTGAAATCTCAAGTTCATTGTATACCTGTCCCACCCTTCAAACCGGATAAAGCGCAGAATACTTGTAGAGTGCAGAACAAACTTCGTGATGGTGACCCTATGATTACACAAACTGGTCCCACGCTTTGGTCGGGAAATTGTCGCTGTTCGCGCGTGCCGGCAGACTCGTTTCCTTCAGTGCTCCTTATATTAATATCATATTATATGCATTGTTATCAAAATATCCCTTTACATTTGTTGTATATGTTAACTCAATCCAAAAATATTACAAATCACGTTAATCTTATGAGTTAAGTCGTCAATTAGAGACTACGTACGTGACGTTTAGACAGAGATAGGTAGTGTCTGATAGAGATAACGCTCTACGAAGCCGAAATTAGCCGATTGTCTCTTTCTAAATATCAATGTGCAATATTTATTGGCGGGTACTGTAGTAGCTGTTATTTTGAATTTATGATTTAAAAAAAAACTATTGCTTAGATAGCCCATAGACATCTACAAAGCATATGCGCCACCCACCCTGAGATATAAGTTATAAGTTCTAAGGTCTCAAGTATAGTCACAACGGCTGCCCCACCCTTCAAACCGAAACGTATTACTGCTTCACGGTAGAAATAGGCAGGGCGGTGGTACCTACCCGCGCGGACTCACAAGTGGTCCTACCACCAGTTTTTTTTTTTATAAAATAAATAAATTGACAAAGTACATTAACTGTCGTCTAAATGAACATCCCTTTATCATTCACCTATGTCTTGATTTATAGCTATGCGATTGTTCAGCGTCTGGCGCATCTCGTGGCTATGTTTACTATTTGTGATCGGCGGATGATTTCCATTCTTCGCGCTTGATAACACGCCTACAACTATGAGAAAGTCGCACTTGTCGTCATACATGCCTATTGAATGTTTCTCGCATTTGTTGGACCATGGCATATCTTGCTTCAGAACGTCCGTTTTTAATTGTTTTCATTAGTTTTTTTCTATTAACTAAGCTAGGCTCATAAATAATGGTGTAGCACCGCTGTTTTCAATTTTTATATTCTTGAAGTTAATAACATGTCTGTTTATATAATCAAAATAATCAATACCTAATCCATCGTCGCCGGTATTTAAATAAGACACGTATACGTGTAATTATGCAAATCGTTCAATCGATCGATACGTTTAATAACTTAATTGGGACAATTAAAATATTATTGGAGCCACATTCACGAAAACCGTACAAAGATAACGTTACGATTCGAACGGTTGGCCAGTAATTTAAAAGGAATTTATTGAGTGCGGACGTTTTAATTACCGGGCAGTGCAGCGAAGGTAATGAACAATGATGCGCGTGAGACGGTAAGTGTTTTACTAAAATAAAGGCATACGGAACGGGCACAATGACTCAGATGGAATTCAGCTGTGCCCGCCATACTCAGCTTCGTCGGAATCAGAAATACAATCCTAATTATAATCGCACGCATCCGTCGAGCACCTCAATCGTTCGTTGATGCCACAAACTGCGTGTCGTTAAGAAGGATTGTCTAGTGGTAATTGGTTAAAACAGTTTTTTTAGTTTGTTGTATAAAGCGAAACTAGACGATTTTTTTTAATAACGCCAACTTATTCTGCCTTTAAAGCGGTTAGTTGCCCTCAATTAAGAAAAATAGTATTAGTATTCGCCAATAGATGTCGGGAAGAGTTGATTATTGAAAACACGAATAAAAAAACATTTTCTGAAAATAAATCGTAGCTAGATCGATTTATCGCCCCCGAAATCCCCTGTATACTAAATTTTATGAAAATCGTTGGAGCCGTTTCCGAGATTCAGATTATATACATAGATATTAATGTACAAGAATTGCTCGTTTAAAGGTATAAGATATAATTGATCGGTTTATTTATTTTATATGCTAAATAGTAAGTGACTAGGCTTTTGTTTGGGGCGGATATATTGCGAGTTTGTGGGTTCAACACGAAATGATCCCCCCACTTTGGGGGGGCCTTACTGACAGTTATCCAACCGCCTTCAAGGAAGGCATAAAAGCTGTAGGGCAGCTGTTTGTGAATGATTTTACCACAGGATTAGAAGAGCGGCCGGTTGAGAAAGGCCGAGTGAACAAATACGCTTTATATGCTTTATCCGCAGTTAGTCCTTGAACTAGTAGCGTCCAACAGCTTCGAGACTGGATTAGGTGAAACCATCCATCAGGACGTACGTGACGACGGCTGTTGCATGAGCCGGGTAAAGGTTATGGTTAATGGTCGCCATTATAAGGGGGTTATAGTTTCCAATGTTGTTATGAATTAGGGCTCTGTGTATTCTTAGACATAGGTTCGAGATCTATATCGTCGTAAAATGGTTCTTCAACGATTAACCTGAGAAAGTGAAATAGAAGAGTCGAAAGGAGTCGAAATCGACGCGGGCCGCGTGAGCAAAAGCCGCAATTGCGGGTCATGATCTAGTGTATACAAGTTTTGTACCGTGTCGTGTAATTACGAAGAGATAGTTTATTTGTTTTGCAGTATCACCAACTAGAATCGAGTTTAGTATAATGGAAGAATTATAAATTAGAAGAAATCGAGCGATTTCACAAATAATTTCAAGTAAATATTTTAGTAATACCATTCAAATTCCATATAAAAAATTTTTCTTTCAAATGAAATAAAATGAAAATTTGAATGGATTTATTTTGTGGTTACCTTAATGATCGTGCGATGACGTCATCCATAGATTTGTCTGCTTTCGAGAGCAAAAATCAAATTATGATATTGTAATCGATTTAAAACTTTGCTACTGTGCCTTACAGTGTGGTCACCCGTAGTTGTTTAATTGAAACAGCACAGTGAGCCTTCCATATAATTTTGTCCAGTAATTCTAGCACCTCATCTGCATACTACTGTATGCGCTCATCTTTGTGGATTGTGTGCTACCAATGTTTAGAATTTATTTTCGTAATACACGTCTTCGTAAAGTTCAAATGTACTCGCCTTCAAGTAGCTCGCGGTAATTTTAATTTGCCTGACTAGTGTGGCAAATCTAGTTAAGCTAATGTATGTGCAGTTGCATAGTAATTGCGTAATTTGTCAAGAAATCTGTTTACTCCTACGCTAAAACTATAATATTGGAATTAATTATAATCCGTGAAGACGTCAGGTTGCAGATTCCATGAAAGGAAACTAATCTATTCGTAACTAAAGGCCGGTAATGGAAGTGATCGAGTTCCGCTGTTACATAACGAGAAACTAGTACAAACGGAACTTTACCCTTTTTTTTCTTCATCGGATAAAACTGCAGCATTCCAACGCATTTCTTTTCATGAAAAGCAATATAGTTCATTTTACACAAATAAGTAGGTACGTTATCTGATCGATTCCTGATTGTCAAAATCGAGATTCTACCAATTGACGTTTACGTGGTTATAAATACACGGCATGTATTAGCTGTGGAGAGTGGTTCATAATAACATATGTGTACATAGGAGCATTGCCGCATTGCGGTGACTCGGCCATATGTCGACATATCACTTCTGCCCTTTACTGGACAGAACACACTCGAATACCTCACAGAATTAACCGTTCGCAAGCTTGTAATAAATATTATTAGACTTATTTAGTTTTCTCTGAATTTTATTTTCTATAATTAATTAGCTACTCGACGTAACGACTGAGCGAGTGCGCGAGTGCGTTTACACTTAATTACCATTAATACCCAACATTAAATGCCTGAATGTGGTCAAACTATTCACATTTCATAATAAAATGTTAGGGCTATATTTTCGATATTTCTGAACTAGTGCTAGAGTTGCTACCTTAGAGGTTTAGTCATTGTCATAATGTAAAGAAGGTAGCCGTTATCAAGGACGGGCTTCCGGGTTAGCTGAGTTCACGTGCATACACAATGATCCTGTGTATTCACGACTCCAAACATAATGTAAACGTATATTGAAACGAGCCTGTTTTAGTTGTTTTAATGTTTTTTTATTTTATTTTGAACTCGTCGAGACGCCATGTATCGGGTTTGTAATACATTAGTCGAGCGTTGATTTACACGGCTGCGTATCGTGGGCGCGTCTATTCATAGTACTAATGTACTAAATATAGTACCGATTCCCTATTATTTCTCGGGACTGAGTCAGTGTGAGTTCCACTTTTGAATTTCTTTCACTTATCACGTTTTTCTTTTGAAGCACATATGTAAAGTTGAGAAAAATTTAAATATTTTATTCACGATGATTGAATATATTGTTTGATATCAACAAATTTAAATGCCCATTAAAACACCTAAAATTAAATAAGAAACCAATTTTTCAACTTAACTTTAGGCACTACTTTAAGCCTTGAAATCAATAAAATAGTAAATATATATAAATGAACAATGAAAAATTAGCATACCGTAGAACAATAAGAAATTGTAATTGATTATTTATCGTGGATCTTAAGTTTTTTTAAGGAAGCTTATATTGTAGGGTCAGACGGAAGACAGAAGAGTTCGCAAGGGATCACCAAAATCCACTTAGATCAGAATCAACGACCAAACTTTGAGGAATTTATTTTGAAGAAGAAAAAAAAACGTTTTTATTGAAAGAAGTGTTCATAAAAATCTGAAGTGCGTTAAGGAGACTTAAAGAGCAGAGACCGTCATTGTT